CTTGGTTTATTAACAAGCAGGTAATTAAGACCATCCTCTGTGGCATGAATTTCAATTCATTCCCATTGTAATACCTTCCCTGAACCTGACTCCTTTTGCCCTAAAGGTAGCACCTAATTTTGAGATGGGGACCAACACTGGCTGACACAATTTATCAAAAATATTTAGTTGCAAGTCTGTGAAAACCTCCAATGCACAGCAAAGAGGTGAGATTCCTGCCACTATAGTAGATGTCTCCCGTGTAAATAGCAAGCAAGTTCAAAGTTGAAGTTGAAAACCCTTCCAACTTGCTCACTATCTGAACTAAAGTAATTGCTCCAAGTGAGTTCAGGAAAAAGTGCTGAGAAGACCTTTAGATCCAAGCTAGAAACATTCCTGCTCCATCAGGTGATCAACCAGCATTTTGTTAACAACAACAGGTTTAAAAACCACCACACCTCAACTTCCAAAGCTTATCCTGACAGAATCTAATGAACACGGAAGCATTCTGAAAAATAATTACATTTCAAATGTCCAGATTTTTATTTAAGATTAACAGCCTGCTTTGAAAGAGTATTTAATAAGACAATTTTAAAAACACCTATTAATCTGGAATAGCAGAGAGGTGAGACCAACCAGACTTTCCCTGTTAAAACAAAAAACTAAGGGAAATAAGGAACCACCTGTGAGATCTCATTTTCCCAGCCTGGCACATTTCAGCTACACCAAACACTTTGTTCCTTCAGTTGTCTTGTAGCTGAAGCAGTCCTGTCTCAGATCAATATAACATGCACACCACAAACACCAGAAAACCAGTCATTGAAAATTAATACTTCAAAAAGTGGTTTTGCAAGCAATCTCCAGTGAGGGAGGTCTATTGGCCAGAGGCAAGAACAACATGTCCTTCTGGTGGTTTTGGTGACCATGGCTGGAAGGCATAACTGTCAATAAATCCTCCAGCTTCTGTAATGTTGAATTCCAGACTCACCACAGCGTTCCCTGACACACACTCTTCTGTGTTCTTTGTATCAAATTACATGGCAACTCTGTCACAATCTGTGTGAAGCAAGTGAAAGATCTGTTCCTCCAGCAACACTTCCACTACTTTTCAGTTTAACTGCGTATCTTCCATTTCTGATGTAGCAGAACAAGAAAAAAAGAATCCTCTTGTGTGTCAAAACAATCCTCTTCCCTTGTTTCCCCTCTCCTCCTCACATCTCTCTCTCTCTCATAGGAAGATTTTTATCCACATTCCTAAAAATGTCTTCATTCTAACAAGGTAGCTTACATTGTAGCTTACATAGGCCTCTACCTACTTTGTACAATCAAGTGATAAAGAGAGATCTTATGTGACTTTTAGCATTCCTGAAATACCTTTTTATTTTTTCTGGGGGAAGAAAACCTAACCTAGCATGTGGGGCAGAAGTTGGCATGTAAAAGGCTGCATGGGATGTCCAGGCCCTTTTGCATATGCATATATGCCCTGAAGCCTATGAGAGGCCATCTCTGCCCACTGCAGGTTTGCCTCAGACTCCCTGCAGCTGCCTCCCCTCTCACTCCACTGGAAAGGACTCTCAATGTGAGGCCAGGGCACCCTCCATACCTGCATGAATCACCTTCTGCACTTCCTAACACAGAGCAGAGCACAACTGGCACTGCCTCTGACAACACACATTCACAGCAAATTATCGAGAATTCTTCCTATTTCTATCACCAAAATCTCTTTCTTCTCCAGCTCACAGCACCAAATGTGTTGCTACCATGCAGTAACAGGAAAGCTGTTTCCTCAAGCACTCTAACCTGAAATTATTTTTATATCAGAAAAATCTATTTATAATAGGCCATCAGGACTTTTGCACCTTCTTGCCCATTAACCCACTTCCACAAATAAAAAATCTCATTAGGAAATCAGTTAGCCCTTGGAAATCTAATACCATTTCAATTTTAACCGTACTGGTAATGAAGAAAATGAGACTGATGAAAAAAGTAATTATCAAGAGATGCACTTCTTCAGCAAAACAAGTGGTCAGACTCAGTGAGGGGAACTGCACCCAATTCTGGGCACACTGTGGAACCAGTGCTCAGAAAAGGAAATAATATAACCAAGTAAACATTTGTGGTTTTCTTTCTCAGCTAGCAGAGTCCCCCAGACTGCATTACTGTAACAGAGCCTACATGGAATCTTGAAGGTCACACTGAAATTTCAGTCAGTGCAGTGTTTATATAATAATCTTTCACAACAGCAGCATATTATAGACAATGGTTTCCCCCTTGTAACCTAGTACAGTCCAAGACATGAACTTGACACTACTAATTCCCCTATGTTTTATCTGCCATGTCAGATTTGTTTTTCTGGCCCACCTGCAATGTTACCTGGGATGCTCCAGCAAACAACACCTGATTTACTGGGTGTGGGAAAAACACCACAAAACCACACAGACTTTCACCTGCAAAATGACTCAATGAATCCATGGTGGGAGTAGGCTTTGCAAATGAGTAGGCTTTGCAAAAAAAAAAAAAAAGTTTTATAAAGGTCACCTGCTTAAAAGATACCTCATGGTGGCATCTGCATCACTGTTCTGAGCTTCTTGGGAAGTTTGGGAACCTACATGCAAATGGGTTCTTTCCTTCTAATTCAGCTGTACATATCATACCACTGGAAAGCTATGACTCCATAAGTTCTTTCAGATGGCTGGAACATTTTTCCCCCAGGTATCCAGCATGTAAACTGTAATTCTTGGTGCAGATTAAAAAAAACAAACCTAATTATCCTTCATATCACTACATATTCCAGACTGGGAAAGGTCAATTTCCTAAGTATCATGAAACAACCTTTTACAGCACCGGTTAGTTAAGAGATAGAGGCCTTCATTAAATGGGATATCAGTTTCTGCCATCACTATGAAAGGTAGCCAGCATCCGTGTCACCCAAGGCCTCTAAACCCCATACAAAGTAATTAAAGCATTATTTTAATATACACTCACTGAATCTCAACTTCTGTGATGCTTAATTCAACAAGATTGATAATGGCTCCACCCAGATTGCTGGTGAATCATTGGCAACACGTCAGAAGTTTCCAAAAGCATTCCTGCTCATTTCTCTTCTTCTGCTTTAGCATGAGCCCTTTTATATAATAATACACACCTCAAGATGCCCCTAAATTAAAGTCTGCGTTATTAATGTCTGCAATTTCCAGATTCATACGTTCATCTGCTCACTGGAACATTAGTTTAAATTATCAGCACACCACAATACCATCAGACATTTATAGAATATTTCATTTTAAACTAAGCTAGTTTGGATACAAGCTGACAAAAAAAAAACCCTCACAAAAACGAACAACAAAACACCAGAAACCATACAAGTTACTTCCCACTTATGTCGAGGAAGGTTCCTGCTGCTCATAAGTGATTGACAAACTCAAGTCTCTGGTTGTCAAAACAGACTGCTCTGATGGTACCTGCCTTTCTAAATTTCCCTCCAAGCAGCCTGTCAGGCTGTCTGCTTTCACAGACCCTTTTCTAGGACAGGAAGGCAAAGACATAAGCTATCAGTGGGAAAGGAAAATGTGCCTGATAACGCCTGCTTCTATTTATGTTAGTGGGAACCATAATTTCATTATCAGCATTGTGTATTAATGCACTGAAGAAAGCCATGGAGCTCCTGGTGAAGCTTAGAAACTGGCAATAATGTACCAACTGCTCCTGAGCACAGGTTATTTATACAGCCATCAAGTCCCATATTAGCTTCATTGACTTCAAATGCAGCAATACAGACATTAATAGCTGACAAAATTAACCACCTCCACATCCTCATAAGCCTGAAAGAAGCAAGAAAACATAAGTTTAGGAATACATTAACTTCTGCCTCAGAGTATTTCTGTATTATCTCACAATTCTATAACCAAATAATGTGAATAGAGTATAAATGCTGCATTTATCTTCCAGCAGAGTCATTAAATGACAGCATTGCTACACCAGTTACAATGATTAAAGCAGCTCAGCTGCAATCCAGGTTACTTTGAACCTGTTAATTATTTTTGCAAATTTTTAATTTTTTCCCCCACTTCAGCCATTTTCAATATGGCAAAAAAAGCACAGAAAACCGTAGCTTCTGCTGGAGGAACAAATGATTTGTCACGCATACTTGACTAAAATGTATAAAAATAAGAGATACATTCTGGATAAAAAGGCGTGCAGAGATAAACAAAACATTCCCAATTCCTACGGGAAAAAAACCAAAACCTTCATCAGTTCCCTGCTTTAAAACAAGACAGACCTAACAATGGCTTTTGAAGACAAAACCTGACACCAGGACATTCCCAACCATCAAAGCAAATTAAATCCCAGGTACACCAACACCGCACCCCCAGCATGAAACCCTACCCACTCTGTGGGTGTAATCCAACAGCCAAAACAATGCCAGGGTGGAAAAACTACTGCAAGTCAGGGAGATCCTGTGCGCTTTCACCATCGTTTGTCCCCACGCACAGGGAGCCGCGGCCACCTCGCTCTTCCCTCAGGCGCGACAGACAAAAGAGCCACAACCCAGGGCGGAGAGGTGTCCCGGGGACTGGTAGGGCTCTGTCATTATTTTCCCCCCGTCTCTGTTGTTCAACGCGACACAGGGACGAGTTTTCTCACGCAGAGGCAGGCAGAGCCCCTGGAAACAACAACAGCAGGCACAGGGGGCACACAAAAGCCGCCTGTCCCTCGGCCGCCGCAGCCTGAGGCGATGCCGCCTCTCCCCACCCCCAGCCGGACCCAGCCGCTCTCCGCCTCCCCCCATCGGGCACAGCGAGCCGCGGTCCCTCCCCGCCTGCCGAGGCGTTCGGAAATCGAGCCCGGCAGGAGCCTGAGGCCTGGCGAGGCACAAAGTCGCGGAATTGTTAGAAGTAGAAAGCACCTCTGGAGATCATCTCGTCCCAGCGCCCGCCCCTCCGCCTCCCTTCTCGGCAAGGCGGGCAGAGCGCTCCCGCCCTATTGTTCCCCGCACCCCGCGGCGGAGGCAGCGCACTCACCACGCGGGCCGGGCTTCCTGCAGCGCCCAGCGGCCCCCTCAGCTCCGGCACACCGGGGCTGCCACAGCGCCCTGCTGCTGCTCCTCCAGTAGTACACGCGGGCCCCGGGGCAGCGCCGCCATCGCCCGCCGCCGCCCCGCTGCCACTCCGGCAGCGGCCATCTTGTGCGTCGACTGCTCCTCTCACCGCCCAGCTCCCTCCCTCCCTCTCCGCACCACCCGCCCCTTCCTGCGCCCGCCTTCCCCCGCAACCGGGACGCGACGGGGACGGAACGGGACGGGATGGGGAGAAATAGCCGAGTCACAGCCTGGAGCCCGTGAGGGCAGGGCGGGGGAGCTACCGCCCGTCTCGGGCAGGGTACCTCGCGCTCTGTCAGGGACGGTCTCCAATGTCAGATGCCTTCCTCCTTTCAGGTGGGGTCTTTTCCTCCCCTCCTCACCTCCTCTTGTCATAGTTAGCGGGCTCGGGGGTGGAGGTCGAGGCTTTTCACACTCGGAGTGGCTCCCGGGGAGCGCTCTGTGTTTTGGGAGCTTGCTGAGGGCCCCCGCCCGCCATTTTCTCTCCCTCAGGAGCCTCTGTTGGCGACCCTGCGGTTGCCTCATACATCACACCTTAGTGCTTCAAGCCGGTTACTTTCCTTACTTCAGGGAAAAAGAACGCAAATTAAGTTCCCTCTTACGTGGCCGTACAGGGCAAACTTTTCGGGGTTTTGCCCGCCAGTCCCAAGTGAAGGCGTAGAGATGGACTCCGTGCTGGAGAAGGTCCCCCGTAGCTTTGTGTGCTGCAGGACACACATCATCCTTTGCTTTAACCAACACCATAGGTAAGAGGTTTGGGGACCCTCCAAGCTTTCCTGTATCACAGTCAGAACTAGTTGGGATACAGAAGAAATTTTAAAAGAAATTATAGAATGTCTTGCAATCACTTGACTTGCAGCATTTACGAAACACGTACTGACTGTTTTAAATTGTTACAAGAGCTAATAACTTAGCATCAGGATATTTCAAAGTAACATCCACTTGATGCCTGTTTATGAGAGCATGAATATGGTGTAAAATACTAAGAAAGCTATATTTAAAGACCAAAAATAGTATTCAGTGGTCCCATTTTATTGCCCATCTGTTTTATCATGTCTATGCCCAGCTAGAGGCTCTGTGGGATCAATCCTGCTGTGATGCTGTTGTGCAGGATGCTGTGTAGGAAATCACTGCTTTTCTATATTCCTTTCATAACACTGTAAGGAGCACCCAGTGTATTACTGTTAGTGCAGCATTGCATGACCTGGGAATACAATATAAATAGAGCATTGTCAAGTCAGAAGTAGTCATGTCCAGAGCCAGGGACTCGAGAGAGCAGGCCTGCAAAAGAAACCTGGGTTGCGACATGCAGACAGAAGACAGAAATTCCTACACACAGGGAAAAACTACATAGGGCAAGGTTATCCTTCAGTTCTTGTTTCTGACTCTTGTACTGACCATAGACAGATTTTCATTAACTTTACAAGAAATGTGGTGCTAGTAACTAAAAGTGTTATTTCTATCTGTTTTACTAAAGAAATAATCTCTTATTATGTAGCTTTTCCACCAAAACAACCTTAATACTTATCAAGGATCAGTGTTTAAATAAAATAGTATTAAGAAAAGCTATTAATTTCTGAAAATGGAGTTTTCTAGCCACAGTCACAGGTACTGAGATCTTACAAACACAGAAGATTAGGATATTTACAAAGAGCATCTTTGACTTAGCAAGAGCTTTACTATGAGCTAGAAAATAAGTGTAAACTGGAAATGTCCAAGGCCAGACTGGACAGGGCTTGGAGCAGCCTGGTCTAGTGGAAGTTGTCCCTGCCTGTGGCAGGGTTTGGAATAAGATGAGCTTTAAGGTGCTTCCAACCACTGAAACCTTTCAATCAACAATTGCCATCTTTTGCAAACTCCTCCTTAAATGCTACAGTAGAAATGTGAACCTTGTTGGAGTTGTCAGTGCCCTGATTAGAAGCAGAAGATGGCATTAGGAATAGCTAAAATGGTAGGTTTTCTTTGCAACCTTGGTTTAATGTCACAGAAGCTAGAAATGGTCAGGGCCTGAATCCTGTTATTTCTAGCAAGTGACTGTACAGTGTTCTGATGTCTGTTCAGTCTGGGGACTTCTATCACTTTGTCTTTTGTTCCTCTATTGTGGAAAGGCTTCATTTTTCATGTAGTTTGTGTTTTCCCTCAACATTTAATTGCATTGCCTCTAGGAGCATGCTAACAATTTTCAGTAGCATAGGTTACCACAGTAATACATGGTGGAAATTTAAAGAAGTGGGATATGAAATCACCTTATTGTTCTTATTATGTAACACTGCACAGATGAGCACTTCAATTCTCCAACCCCACTTTACACTTCCATCAGAGTCAGGCTTTTCTGATGTTTATTCTTTGTTCGGTTTTCTGAAAGTTGAGACATTTGCAGATGAGCTGGTTCTCTAGTTGGGATCTGGTGCCACTAGATAAGTTGGGTTATTTTTAGTGGCTGCCTTCCCCAGTTACGCAGCATTTCTTCCTGCGTGACACACTGCTTTTAGCATTTGAAACACAACGTGTTATTTGCCTTTAGGATTACTGTTTTCAAATATCATTTCAGCTTATCATTAAATCAGCTAGAATTCATCTCCACTTATTTACATTGTTCTTTCTTTTATGTTCTTAAAAGCCCACAGGAATTAGTTTTTATTCTACCACATATAGTCTCAATTTTCAAATCTTTCTCTCCTTTTTCCCATCCAAAAGGGAATAGTGTGTAGGCATGGTTCTAAAATGTGACATTTGTGGCCACACTAGTAATGTTCCTCAAATTAAAAATGACTCCCCATTTTAGCCTCTATGACGGAGAGAAATACCTAAAATACCAATGTAACTGTCAAATGGTATCATCTCACCATTCAATTTTTTATATTACTCCTTCCATATAAAACTGCTCTAGAACTGTGGTACCAGGATAGCTGTCTTTAAAAAAAGAACTGTGTATTTTTTAAATGTCTTGGCAGTGTTTCAGTTTGCTATTTTAGTTAGCAATGTGACTTGTAAAGCTGATAGAGGAAAAATTCTCATTTTGAAACCTGTGATACCAGAATGGAAGAATGAAATATTTCTTCAGGTGGCTGCAATCATGTCCTTGGTTTTTTCACACAGTGAAAATTCTAAACCACAGATAATAAAAAAGAAAATCCTTAGCACTTGTATATGCTTGACCATCATGTTAAAAAAATTGAACCTCATGTTAACAAAACCTAAATTCCTGTACTTTTATAAAATTCCATTGACAAAAAGAAAAGACTGTATCCATCCAACATAATAATTGAAAAAAAATCCAGTGTTCATTAGAGAGCATGCTAAATGTCATCCAAGCCCATAGGATGCAGATGCAACTATTGGAGCTAGTTTTATTTGCTTATTTTAAATAATACAGTTTCAAAATGCAGCCTTACACTGTGCTATCTCCAACATAACAGACAAGGCTTCCATTTCCCTTGTATAAAAGAAGCCTAGAGGATCTAAAGGAACGTGAAGTCCATATGTGTAACATGAGTGCTCCTCCTTGAAAGATTCTCTCCCAAGCATTCACAAATTCACAATTTGCACAAATAAATAATACTATATAACCCACCAAACATCAGATTTGTTTAAAAAAATTTTTGCAGTTCTTTGATGCTGTTCATAATAAATTTGTAGAATACCAATACAATTATAAATGTTTGTGTTTTCAGCCTACTTGGAATGCAAAGGTCTATGTAAATATACCCCCTGACTGCAGCTGCTGTGGAAAAAGAAGTAATTATAAGAAGGGTAAGAAACTTTGTTTTGGTGATTTCTCATTAGAGGTTTCACTTCCTTAAGCATCCCATCTCATCATCCTCCTTGTCCCACTGGTGTTGTGGGATGCAGAATGCTGGTTCAGGAGTACCAGATTCTCCTCCTTACTGCCTTTTCTGCTTATATGTCATTGCCTGCTTTGCTCCAACCCCAGAGCTTCCAGTGTCATTCAGCACATCTCTCTTTTTGGGATAAAAATTGTGAAACAACAGAAAGTAGAAGAATTTGCAGCAGAGCAAGTCTGTAGTTCCACTAGGCAGAGCAAGGCACAGGCAGCACCACAGCACATCCTTGTCACTCCAGTGCCCTCTGCTGAAGTAACCATCTCCTTGGCCTCTGAGTCCCCTTGGCAGGGGCAGGAGCCTCTGCCAGGTGCCATATGCTGCCACCTCTTTATCTTGCACCTGACTTCTTGTTGTATTTCCTTTTCTATTCTGTCTCAACAGAAAAGCAGAAGTATTTCCTTATTTCCTTTCTTTGCTCCAGTGGTACTTTGGTTGAAATTTGTTCTTTTCCTTCATAGCATTGCTGCACTACATTTTACAGCAGCCTCTTAATGGGCTTAGGAAGGTAACATCTATGTTGGGATGATAAACAATCAAGGCAATTATATTTTATAAGAAAGCCAGTGTGTGTGTGTGTGTGTGTGTGTATAAAGCTGAAAACCACTTAAATTAACAATGTAATTTTTGTTCTTTTCTGGCAGGTTTACTCATGTACTATAAAACTGGGAGAAAATGAGAGACTGGTAAGGCTTAAAGTTGCTAAGTAAGGAGGACTGGTAAGGCTAAAGTTGCTATCTTTTTATTGTTTAGAAAAGATTTTTTCAAGCTTTCTTGAAGGTTTTATAATCTGACATGTCATAATGATGTTCCCTACTCTTCTTTGAGTCTAGCAGGTGAAAGAAGCAGCATTTACAGAAGAAGAAAAAGGAAAATCACTGAAGGAAATGTGTAAGTTGAGTGAAAGTTAGTAATCCTGGAATTGGCTCTTATTACCAGACAGAAAGAGATAGTATTTGTGGTTTGGTGAGTTAGCTATTTTTGATGTTGTTTTTCTACATAAGCTACTGATATAATTGCTAAAGAAAAACATCAGTGAAAAGATCAGAACATCCTGAGAGCACAGATAGAGCTTATATTGTGTATACATTTTGGAGATATTAAACTCATTTATTTTTAGCAAGTGTCACCAGTTTCTCAGAGATGAATCGATTCTTTTTATGTGCTCATTGAGGCACTTGGAACGCACAAGTCCTAGCCTGTCAACAAATGCCAGCTATTTTGAGAAGCACACTTTCTGCTGTTAGGGAAACTTCTTGTTCTTGTACATAAGGCCACATAGCTCCAGTCTGTTTCTCCCCAGTGTTTCTGTGGTTTTGCTAGGCAGACTTGTGTTACCTGCAGGAAAAATATGAGCCATAAAATAACTTACCTTCCTTCTGAAGTCCTTAGTCATTGCAACTTGAATGTACTTTGACTTCAGCAATTCGATATCAGAAGGTTGTTCAGGTGGCAGTTTATTACAGACTCTCCCAGGCAGCTGTTTTTCTTATCATTGTTTCCATTAACATAGTGCTCTGGGAAAAGAAAAAAGACAAGAAAAGGAGTGTCCTGTATTTTCATACACAAACCCCACCCTCTCCTTGGACTTCCTTCCACAGGAAGCACATGGGCAGGTATGCACTTATTTGCATAATTAATAGACAAGATAAAACTGTTTCTACCCTACCTTGATGAGTCAAGCACTGAAAAGCAGTTGAGGGCAAACAGGGTCATTCACTGATCTCTCAGGTGTAGCTGCTAAAACTCACAAGGTTTGGGAGGCAGAGGCAGAAACCAATTGTACTGGGTTTGCATGGCCTGGTGTTTGGTAGCATGGGGGGCTATAGGGGTGGCTTCTGTGGAAGCTGGAAGCTTCCTCCATGTCTGGCAAAACCAATCCCTGGTGGCTCCAAAGATAGAGATGATGCTGGCCAAGGCCAAGCCAGTTCAAAATGTTGGTGATACCTCTGTGATAGCAGATTTGAGAGTAAAGAAAAGCAAGTTGTGCAGTTGTAATCGTGGCCAGAGAAAAGCCAGGTGAGAATATGTGAGAGGAACAGCAGACATCAAGGGGCAGGGAAGGAGGAGAGGCAGGAGGCATTCCAGGAGCTGGAACTGAGATTCCTCTCCAGTCTGTAGAGAAGACCATGGTGAGGCAGCTGTGCCCCTGCAGCCCATGGAGGTCCCCAGGGATGCAGCACTCCACCCACAGCCCTTGGAGGTCCCCAGGGATGCAGCACTCCACCCACAGCCCTTGGAGGTCCCCAGGGATNCACTCCACCCACAGCCCTTGGAGGTCCCCAGGGATGCAGCACTCCACCCACAGCCCTTGGAGGTCCCCAGGGATGCAGCACTCCACCCACAGCCCATGGAGGTCCCCAGGGATGCAGCATTGCACCCACAGCCCATGGAGGTCCCCAGGGATGCAGCATTCCACCCACAGCCCATGGAGGTCCCCAGGGATGCAGCATTCCACCCACAGCCCATGGAGGAGCCCCATGCCAGAGGAGGGGGATGCCTGAGAGGAGACTGTGGCCCTGTGGGAGGCTTAGCAATGACTGAAAACATCAGTGTGTTACCAACACTTTTCTCTCCATCCAAAACACAGCACTGCACCAGCTACCAAGGAGAAAATGAACTGTATCCCAGCCTAGCCAGGATCAGCTTCCTGTCCAGCTCTGCATTCACGTGACCCTATCCTAATATACAAATAATGGCCTTTAAAGCCAAGACACACATTTTGAAAAAATGGTTCTGTGAATTTTGCAAAAAAAGTAAAAAATTTGCCACAAGTTTGATCAGAAAAAGATTCATAATGCAACAGAAAACACTAGTTTTGAAATGTTCTACTTCTGCATTAAACAGCCTTTTTAAAAAACTAAGCATTTTTCACTACACAGAGTAACAAATTTGTTAAAATTTCATCTTGACATCCATCCTTTTTTTTTGTCTGTTGACAAATCCAGAAAGATTGCTTGCAATATGTTTCCTAATTTCTTAAACAATTACTACTAAAATTTGCTGATAATTGCAAAAATAATCATCTGCTTCAGCAAAATTCCTTTTCCTTTTGTGCCCAAGTGCAGCAGTAAGAGAGAATGAAATTACTTCAGTACAAATTTAAGTTGACATCTAATATCCAATTGCAAAATTCTTCAAGGATGACAAGGTACAGCAGGAGTCATCAGGCTACCACTTAAAAAGACAGACAATATTTTCAACAGGTTGAAATGGAGTTTCAAGTGTAATTTTAAAAGCAGAGACACGTCTCTTCCGCTGCAAGTCTTTCCATGTCCTTGGACAATAAGGCTGCAGTGAATTACTAAAGTAAGAAACTCTCACAAGGGTTTATGTTCTCATTAACATGATGAATTTTGTACAAAATTGATATCCACAGATAAGGATCTCAGGTTTTTCTAAAACCAAGCTTAAATTGATATCCACAGATAAGGATCTCAGGTTTTTCTCAAACCAAGCTTACCTTTCCAGCCGTGGCAATGACTTGAGATCCTTCCAAGAGTGAAGAGCACACTGTTTTACTTCTTCAACCAAAATTTTATCCTGTTTATATAAATATATATGCAATATATACAAAGAACCACAGGTAACAGAATATTTTGTATCTTGTTCCTTTCTTATTCAAGTCTTTTAGGAAGAAACTGGACGTTTCTAAACAAACACACATACACTGACAGTGAGTAATTCAAGCAGTGTGTATTGTTGCAATGTTACTATCCATACCAAAACAACCTGTTCACAGCTCACATGCTGCCTGCAGGGCACGCAGTGAACTGCATTCCCCAGCTATTTCCTTTGGTCTGTCAGCAACATTGTCATCAACAACCATCTTCCATCACCTTTGTCCTTAGATTACTTCTCAAAGTAAAAAAATGAAACAGTGCTTTAAAGACTTACACTGAATGTACTCCAGAAGAGGAAACCTTACATCCAGGAATATTAACTCCCCAAAACAATAGTGTGCCTTCTTTCCACCTTGAATTTAGAATGCATACTCAAGTCACAAGGCAGATGACCTCCATATCCTAATCATCTTGTCCCATAATAAAATACCACAGAAAAAAGTTTGCCAAAATAAAAATGGGAATATTTATTATCTTTTCTACCAAAGCAATGCAGTTCTTTTGAGATTATACATTGGTCTTTGCAAATGTTTCTACAGCTAAATTAATACTTTTCCATTTTGTAAAAAAATTAGACACATACTTCATAAAAACAAAACAAAGACAGAGGCTATGTCACCGAACAACTGGCAGGATTGTAACTGTTAGTAGGGATGAGCAAAGAAAGCTCATGCTTATACTTAAACCTCTGGCATTTGTATCATTATCATGTTCCAGTGGGACAAAATGGGGACATTTTCCTTGCACATTTCTGGGTCCACTTCCCAAGCTTTCAGACAGACTGTTAAATACTGAATGTGACCAGGAGAACCTAAACATTGCTCAGCAGTACTACATGCACAGGATGCAGGGGAAGGAAGAGTCAGACCCATGCAAACAGTACAGGACAAACCATTACAACTGGCAAACGTGCACTGGACAAAAATTGAAGTTTATGAAAAGCTTTATTTGTTGTCATGAAAATAGTATCAGAAGCAAGTAACTGTATGTGTTTTGCAAAGTCATCTTCATTTGGCCTCCTGAGCTTTCTTGGCATTCTGTTTTTCTTTTGCCTAGAAAACAAGGGGAGATGATGTCAAGCTTTGACAAGATGAAGGTCATTCTGGATATCTGAATGACTACAAATACAGGTTTAAATAAATTATGCAAAAGAAACGGAGATAAGGTAACTTCTCTAGGGGAAAAGCACTATTTTAAAAACATAATTTAAACTTTCATTTTTCATACCTCTATACAATTTCATTTTACATAGAAAAAACTCTTCCTAATGGAAACATTTTATGTCACAAGAAAACACCGCACTCAGACATACAGATGATCAAAACTGAACTCTGAAACGCACCAAGATCTTAAATAAGTGGGAAAAACCCCCACAAAAGCTCCTGTCAAAATATTTGCAGACAGATTCTCATATCAATCATAAATAGTTCAAACTGGTAAGGAACTGGAACTTTCTTCCTTATGAATTTACTTAAGAAACAGATTGGCAAGAAGAGGGGACAACTCAGAAGAAATACTGGCCAGCAGCTTTCTGTCAAAACATTAGTTAATTCTGAATCAGGCTGCTGCTTGTTACCACTTATTGAAGTGAACAGAACAGCATCTAATTCAGTGATTTAAAATTAAGATCTGTTACCACTAATTCACTGGTAATTTACTTGTGAAAGCAGCTTGATGGGCGTTATCAATTACTTTTGTTAACATGAAACTGATTAAAATTCCACAAGTTACTCTCTTAAAAACTACAAGCCTGCAAATGTACTTTCCTAAATAAATTCAGCTAAAGAATGTACTCATTAAATAACACACAGCTCTTTTTCATTACAGTAATTCAGAGAGCCTTTCTCAGTGAGTATAAAATCAGGGATCCTGCCTGTGGCACTCAAACATAAGTGCACATTAGCACAGAGCTGACTTCAGTTCCAAGTGCCTGACCAGTTTAACAACCTTGCCAAAGTGGCAGACATGCTTATTCATTAAAGTTTTAATACAAACCTTAGCAGTAAATCAATGTTAATGGCCACATACCTTAGAAAGGGGAAGCCCAAGGCAGTAAATGAGCACAGGAGCAGGGAAAAGAGAGGGACCAAATTCCCAGCCCTGTGCCACGGCTGCCACAGGAGTGCAGGGAGCCATCCCTGGCCAAAGAACTTGGAAGAATAAATGACATGGGCTCTTTTAAATAAAAGAGAAGGTATGAAGAATTATAGTAATATACTGTCAGCTAGGAAATACTCACTTTTTCTACTAAGGGTATTAACTGCTGGTGCTCTGCTAGAGTCTTTAACAATTCCATGATGAAAGGCAGGTAGTTATGTTTTCTTCTAATATTTTCAATCTAAAAGTAAATTAAAAGCATGAACATAATTATTATATAGCTGAACTATTTTCTAGTCCCCATCCAGTTCCTTCACATTAATTGCAAAGCTCCCACACATATATATAAAAGCTGACTTGATCTTACAACTGTTCCAATAATTTCATCAGAAAAGCAAAGACTACATACCTTATATCTTTTTAATTTTTGGTTCTCTTCTTCAATTAACATCTGGTATTTTGCAACTTCTGATTGTATAGAACTTAACACATTACTACTTTGATCTGTATCCATAGGCTCCTCCTTCCATAAAACAAAAATTTAAATTGAGGATGTTACTCAATTTTTAAATTTTACTTTTTTAAAAGCAAGTTTTGTCTCAAGGGTATTTCTATCACAGAAAGATGCAGTTTTGTTTACCATTATAGGTACATACCAGGAATTTGTGCAGTTAGTTACAAGCAGGTACTGGGAAAAAACCAGTTCCAGCTCCACAGCAAATGAGTCAAGGCAGAAAGTCAAGATGACATGGTCAGCACTGTGCTGAGTGCTCAGCTCAGAGCTGCAGCACTGAGTGCATCCACACTGTGCTGGACACATCTCCAGCAATCACTCCCTGCTTTTTGTGCTGCTGCTCCATTGGGAGCAAGGAAGGGAAGTGAATAGTAAAGCCAGC